ACAATGCCTGGGAAGCTTCTGGACAAGCGACTCAAAGCATTTAAGCGCACTACAGATAGAGGCAAGGCGGCACAAGACCCGAGCAGCTTCGTTGTTTGAAGCGCGAGCACTCCTAATTTCTGAGAATGGTCAGGAATCGCGAAGGAACCATCACGCTTGAACAGTTGAACCAGGATATTCAACTTTCACTATGTTTTATGCTACCCAGATAGGTACAAAACTCGAACCCTGTATATTCCCTTTTGACAAGCCTTTGTCTTTCTATCTCTTTGAGAAGGCCTTAGACAGTAGCGAATGTGCTTTTTAAAGTGCATGCTTGAGACACTCTCTAGCTGCAGAGGTCTCGGCACATTTGCGAGCGACTTGCGCACGAGTCTATATACATCTCGAAAGTGCTAACCGCTCTCCAGTTCCAGCCACTGTCTGGATGAATGGAATGCGCCAAGAAGACTTGCACTCTGGCGCGCAAAAAGATCGAGCAGACACTGCCCTCTGAAATCCGGGTAGAAAGAAAATTGCGGCAAAGTAGCATGACAAGCCCATGAAGCAGGCAGATTGCACAGCTGGTTTCCACTACCAGGCCCTGGACCACTTTCAAGGGAACTGTGCTTATATTTCAACACCAACCGCACCTGTAGTATTGCAGACCCCGCTTTTGCAAGTTGCCGGTTGAACATTTAAGTTTCAACCGCAAAGCACTGGGTTTCTTTTAGAGTTCTCTTTCGAATCTACAAGCTTGAGGGTTTATGGTTTTGTTGATAGTGGTTTGACACTGTTGGTTTCAATATGTGTCGATTGACCTAACTCTGGTCGCTTGGGTATTCAACGAGAACATATCTGGGATATTTTACCGACCGCTCTTTCAAGGCGGATCGATGCAGGCAGTTTGTTTAAGGATATTTGGCATTGGCCGCTAGTCAGGGCTGCTTGGACTCTCCTCTTTTCGTTTCTGTTTTTTTTTAAAGCCCACCCCAAACTACGGCTAGCCGCAGCCACCGAGGGATTTTTCGGACGGTTCGCCTCGTTTCTATAATATGCTTTTCATATTTGAGATTTCAAGCGTCTAAGTGGGTATGGTTCGTTCTGTTCTGGTGCCAAGGGAAATGGGTTGGGGTTTTCTTGCAAAGGATATGCAACCCAACTACTAGGACACTTCTCCATTTCAGGTTGGGAAAGCCACAATCTGCCATTCAATCTGCAGGTCCGGCTGCAAACTGATTGGTGCTTGTCGTTGTCATTGCCAATTCGCGAATCAGAATTGCCTAGTTGCCTGGCAGTATCCTTACTGAGGGGATGGTTGGGCATGAACGTACTCAAGGATGTGAACCCTCTCAAATGGTTGGGATTCCCTCAAACAGCCAGTCACAGGGCTGCCTATTTACAGTTTACTGTTCCTCACTCGGACAGGAACCTTCCTGTGCCATGAAGGTGCATGTTCACTTACCCAGTGGAGGTGGTTGTTCCATAGAAGTCTCGCTGGCGACGCCTATCAGCGAGCTGAAGGCTGCAGCGCAGCAACATTTTAAGCGTCGCTTGAAGCTCATTGCGAAAGGCCAGCAATTCGATTTGACAGCCACGGTCGCAGAGGCGTGGTTGCGAGATGGGGACGTGGTGACTGCAGTTGTGCAGCTTGGCAAACTGGCGGCCTCTCACGGGACGTTCGCTTTTCATGGTCACGGGGGCGAGCTTGCGGTTTGGGGTGCTCCGCATTTCGGTGGAGATAGCAGCCAGGTGCAGAAACAGCTGAGGAATGTCCAGCACATCCAATCAACTGAAAATGCTTTTGCTGCCATTCTTGAATCTGGGGCAGCTGTGACCTGGGGTGATCCAAACTTTGGCGGAGACAGCAGCCAGGTGCAGGAGCAGCTGAGGAACGTGCAGCACATCCAAGCAACTGTTGGTGCTTTTGCTGCCAGTCTTGAATTTGGGGTTGTTGTGACCTGGGGTGCTCCAGATGTTGGCGGAGACAGCAGCCAGGTGCAAGAGCATGTGAGCCTAAATGTAGGACTGTTGTAACACGCACGCCGCAAATCTGGCTCACCAACCGTGTGCTGAAAGAAGCAGCGGCGGGTGAACTTTACGTTTGGGGTTTGGCAGGGGGGACTGATCAATTTATATATATATATATATATATGTTTATTTAATTAGTTTATATTCATTGAATATGGTTTAACATTAAATAACCTATGCATGTTTGTCCCCAAATAGTGCTTATACTAAGGAGTCTTTGCGGTAAGAGCTAAGGCTGGGTTAGAGGAGAATTCGTGCTCAAAGTGTTGGCCTTGTGCGCAAAAAGTTGCCTTCGATGAGATAGTCTCGTCTCGAAATATGGGTGCGTGCGGGCGGTCAAGACGCCTTGCGCGAAACGTGTTTTTTCTCCCAAATAGTGTTTACACTGTGGGGTTCGTAGGGTAAGAGTTAAGGCCGGTTTAGATCGAGGTTCGCGCTCGAATTGCTGGCCCTGCGTAAAAAAAGGGGTTGTTTTCGGCGCGACGGTCTCGCACGAAATGGAGGTTCGCGCTGGCACGTGCGTCTTGCCGTGGTGCCGTTCACATATTTTTTTGGGCTGCATGTCTAGAGGCGCGGCTGCGAAATCGCAAATTGCAAGTACATAAGTAGTACGCGAAGTGCACTCCCGCAGCTCCGGCTGAAAATTCGCAAGTTTTAAGTACAACAGTACTTGAAGAGCTTTCAGAGAGATCCGGCTGCAAAATGGCAACCTTTAAATGCAAACATGGCGCGCCAAAGTTGTACGCGAAGTGCATTCCCGCAGCAGCTCCAGTACCGGCTGCGAAGTCGTAAGTGTTTTCGCGCAAAGGTAGCGTGCGAAGCGCGCTCTCGCAGCTCCAGCTCGAACATTGCAACTTCAATTTTAAGCGCGAGTGTGATGTTCGGAAAGTGCGCTCTCGCATCTCCAGCTCGAAAATCGCAACTTGTAGGCGCAAAAGTAGTGTGCCAAGTGCACTTCTGGAACTAAAACCGCCAACCTTCTTGTCAAGAAGCTTGTGCAGCCAAGAGTGCACGCAGATATGGACAAGAGAGGTTGACAAGAGAAAGAGACATGAAAGGTTGTGTGAGAGAGGTTGCGCAGCAGCATGCGCGAGAGGGACCGTCACGCATAGCATCATGCGCAGCATCATGCGCGGCGTCGCGCGCAACGTCACGCGCAGCATCGTGTGCAACATCATGCCTGCGCAGCGTCATGCGCAACACCACGCGTAGCTTCACGCGCACTAGCGTTAAAACACTGCGTAGCGCGCAAGAGAAGTTGATGGCGAGAGATTTTTTCGAATCGCGGCGCCGAGCTTGCTCAAACTTGCAGAAGGGACATTGATGTGTTTGCAGTTGTTTCTCACATGTAGTGGGGGGGGTGTTAGAGTTTTTTAGCGTTTTCGATGCTTCCGGGCCAATCATCGTTAAATTAAGCCTAATTCTACTTGGGGTCTCTTGCCAGGATTTTTTCCCGGATGCATAGGGTTCTCTCGTTTATAAGTGGGTGGTTTGGGGGTTGGAGGCCATATTCACCAAGGTCTGCAGAGGTTTGAATGTACGACGGACATCTTGGGTGACTTGTCCAAGTGACTGTTGCTGAACCTGTTGCTCATGGACGGCTTTTAGATGCATTTCAAGGCCTGATGAGGTCTCCTAAGTGGGTCGTATGCAAGCCTGTGTCAGGGCACTTGCCGGTCAACCAAGCCCTCGCTGTTTCATTCATCCTGCCAGGAATGCAAACAAATGTGTATCAACCAGGCTTACATAGCTACAGTCCAACAAGGACGTTCATGTGTTTTCTCAGTTCTTTCCGTTGGTAGCGTTGACCATTGTGCTAACCAGGTCATGAACAAAGCTCTGGCATGTCTTTAACCGGAGCCCATTTCGACAGACCTGCACACAGGAACCCTACAACTATTGGGGTAAAAAACGCTAGCCGGTGCCTGGCATGGATTTTGTCCATCAGTTCTCACCACTACTTTGTCACGAAAAGGAGGGCCCTTTCCCGCTTTGCTGGGTATCACAAAAAATGGCGCGCATGGGCTCCCTGAGGCAAACTAGGTTCCCCAGTAGTGCCCTTCTCTCCTCTTTTTTGGGGGAGGGTCCCCCTACAGAATAGACAGAAAACAGTTGGTACCCTAAACCCTAACCTCTCTACTGGAGGTCCTAACGCAACGTATCAAGCCCTCCCTTCGCAGATTTCAGATTTCAGCTAGGCGCTGCGCGGAGAGCTGGTGGAGGAGCGGCGGAGCCGCCAGGCGGATCGGGTCATGCAGGAGTTTCCGTCTGAAGAGGATGGGTTTCCTTGAAGAATACATGCAGTTTTGGAGCGGTGAGAAAGCTAGGTGGTTTTGGAATGGAGACCAATACAAAATAAGCGTCCAACGCCCAACCAACAGCAACCAACAACCAACAACCAGACATGGAATTGCACACCCCCTTTGGCAAGGGTTTGTTGGCCGGGGGGGTAGGGGTATGCGCCAAGCGGTGTGCTTTTGGAGTTCCAATGTGTCCATCTTGGATGGGCGAAACATCACCTTTTGTCGTTGCTGAGGGGAAACATTGGGAATCCTGTGCCGCGCAAAGATCCAGCGCGCTTCTCAAGGGGTTTGATTGGGCATGCAGGGCCTTGGGATTCGGCTACCAGTGGATTTGTTATTGACGGCGTTCGTTTGCTTCAATTTGCAAAGCCTCCTTGACCTCCACCTAGAGCGCTTTCTGGGTCAAAGTGGAGGTCTGAAGTGTCATTGAGCTCAGTTGTCCAAAGCAAGTTGGTCGTTGACCTGTTGGTTCACAAACTCACGTGGAGCAGTCTGGAATGGCTAGCCTCATATTGCCAGGTCTTTTGGGAGAGTGGGCATTGCTTTTGAAGGCTTTACCAGAAATAGGAGTCCTAAAGCCTGTTGACTGTGGAGGCAAGCAGGTTTGTTTTGATAAACGCATGGGGTTAACCACCTGCTTAGTGAAGGTTCCTTTTCGTAGGGTTCGGCTTGTCCAACGGACCCAGCTCAGCAACCATTTTTTCCAGCCTGAATGAGAATGACTTCTTACCCAGTTGGCTTACGGACCTTGTGTTTCCAGGCAGCATTCGTAAGCAAATGGGTGCAACAGTGTTTATGCGTTAACCTTGGTCACCCAAATCCCTGGGTCTTCGGCAATTGTCGTCTCACAAGAAGGGTCCCGAAAAGACTGGAGGAAGTACGTTAGAAGTATGTCGAAAGTTGCGGTGGAACTCTGTCGCTCACGGACCGTATATCTGGTTTGTGTTTGTACATGCGAGCATTTCCGTGTTTCTGTATGCAAACTTGTGTCGTTCCGTGGCTTCACCTCTATGGTTTTCTTACAGGAGGCCAAGGTTTTGACACCCAGCCTCCAGTGAGATGGCCTTTCTCTAGCCCGGAGCCGCAGTTGCCTTCGGTTTAGGCGGCAGAGGCCGCTCTGGCGGAAAAGTTGCACGAGAAGCTCGCCCAGCTTGCCGGGGATCCATGATCCTGGAAACTTCAAGCAGTGGTTCCAGAGAGTCAGTAACCCCCCCCCACCAAACCAGAACGGTTCTAGAAACCTCTTAAGAACCTTTTCTAAGAAGGTTCTAGGAACTTTTTTTTTCAGATGTGGGGCTGGGGGGGGAGGGCACGCATTTTCCGATATTTTAGGAAAGGGCCTGGGAAAGTTCCACTTTGCAGAAATCTGTGGCCGTTCCCGGATTGGGCCGTGTATGGACGCCTGCTTGCTGCCCCTGCCCTGATGTTCACCCAAGGTCCTCCTTGACGCCCAAATCCAGTTCATGAACCCTCGCCAGGAATACACGCAACTCTTGACCGGGAACTACTGAGCTTTGGTGTGTTGACCACCTGGGCCTTGGTTCGACCAAACGGCTCTACTCAGCTGGTTGCCAAGGATGGCCTTGGGCAAGCCGTGAGGCAGCTGGAGGCTCTTGTTCCACAGGCACGGGTTCTTCTGTCAGGCTTGAATCACATGCAACCACGCCTGGCTAGCAATTCTATGCGCTTGTTTCTCTTCACCCGCCTGCCCTCAACGAATTCGGTTCGACGCCAAGTGCCGTGAGAAGCCAGCGGGTCAGGCATGAGTGAGGACCAGGATGTCCATTGGGGCCTATGAGTGATTGCACGCAACGTGATTCATCCTTTCACTTGAGGTAGCCAGGTCGGTTTTGGAGCAAGCTTAGCGTTTGAAGTCCCGGTCCCGGCTCTCAACTGATGTTGAGTCCCCAAAAGCCATCCAGCATGGCTGAGCTGTTCAGGCAGCCAGTAAATAGCCCGAAAATGAACATTCCTTGGCAAATGTGTTGGCAATATCTTGTGTAATCCAAATCCAAAAGGGTGTTGTTTTTTTTTTCTCCGGCAGAAACGGGTATCCTGAATTGGGCGTTTTGGTTGGTGCCAAGACAGGATTTGGGGGGTTCATTGGGCCAAACCTTGATTGTGGCCTTTCAAGTAGACTGAAAGTAAGCAGGGAAAGGGGCGGTCTTTTGGAGGGACGGGGGCCACACCAGCGGGCCGTGCGGGTTGTGAAGTGCGCCAGGGAACCCATGCTCGGGGCCCGGAGGGGCTCGCTTGACGCAGTGAGAGACGAGAACAACCTCTCAATGTGTCTTGGGTTCAAGCATTAGTTTGGTGCAAGGTGTTCATAAATGGCTGGTGACCCCAGTGAGGCGGTGGGTGGATATGAGAAGAAAAGCAATTCAGCTAGAATGCAACTCGTTCTGGAAAGCATTTGAGTTTGCAGCTGCAAAAGGCCTTTCAGAGTTGCAATGTTCACACAAACCAATACGTGTAGCGAGAGTGGCGTTTGAGAGTGCAATGTCCTGCTCACTTTTCACTGTCTCGTGCCGTGTGGCTTACATTTTCCGCCCATCTAATATGGGGGCCCTGAGCCCATAAACCAAAAGATAAAATGCAGGGGGTGGGTTTGGAAAGCTTTCTGCGCATGTCTCCCCACCCCCACCTGAAAGGGCGCCGCACAGGGCAATCTGAACTTCAAAATTCATCCGGAGTTCGTGCTAATCGAAGGAATCCCCCTAAAGTGAGTGTGTGTGTGTGTGTGTTTTTTGTTGGGGCGTCCCCTTTTTAAGGGTTTGGTGGGGTCAATTCCCGACAAAAAAAGGGGCCACCCCAGATTCGTATGGTCCACGAAGGATGGGCATCGTGCTTTGGGAGCGGCCGGCTGCGTGCAGAATCCTGGCTCCGAGGGCAGTCGTTTGCTTGCTCGATTCAAACCTGGCGACCACCACCACTGGGGACTTGCTGGGCCTAGCCTGGGGCCTACCAAAGCACTTCGTTCACGTGCCTGCAAACCTAAGCACCCGCACCGCTGGCGGCTTTTTCCCTGCCGCTCCCCTTTTGACGCCCTTTCTTGGCCGCGTGCGGCGGGGAGCCGAACGATGGAGCTGCCCAAGTGGCTGCTTGCGCTGCTGCTGGGGCTGGTGGCAGCCCTCGGGGCCTGTGTGGCCAAATTCACGCAGCGCCGAGGAGCGGAAGGGAACGGGAAGCGGCCGAAGTAAGCGGGAAGGAGGGGCGTCAAGTCCAATGCTGGGATTTCACTTCTTGAGCCAACGCAGCTGACCGAGCCCAGTGCACTGCAACGCCTGACCCAGATCTTTGTCGATTTGGCCCATGGCGCCGCATTCTGGAACAAAGCTTGGACCGTATAATTTCCTGTCGGAAGGGCGTTTGTTTGTTCAACGGCAGCAATCCCGCCTCCGAGCACACTCATGGCAAAGACACTGGCACATCACTTCCGATTAGTCTGGAGGACGAATCAGGGTGGGCTCCCCTTCAAATCTGCTTTACAGGGTTTTCCTGGCCCTGACTAGTGCAGTCCGGATCAATCCGAAGCCCAAAGACTTTGCTTTCTCCATGCCCCTGCTTCCCCAACCCTTACATGAACATTTCAATGACTTCTAAGACCCGGTTCAAACCATCATTGGCGGGTAAATACTAGGACATCTCCACTGGTGTGTCAAAACGGGGGCCCACCCTCCCCTTCCTTTCGGCATCCTTCCCCACCAAAAACGTGGTCCCAAGCCTCAAAAATCCGCCACCCCTCCCGTTGCTTTGATGGCCCTTGCTAGGCGGGCGGCTGCTGTGCCTGGCGGAGGCGTTCGTGTCGGGGGGCCTTTTGAACGCAGCGCTGGTGCACCTGCTCGCAGAGACCAGCGAGCAGCTGGAGACCTCTGGGGGGGGGGGGGTGTGTGTTTTCTCGTGGGCCTTGAAGCCCTATGGGGAGAGCTTGCGGGCCCGAGGCATGCCAACCAGCCACACACATGGGGGGGGGGGGTTGTCAAAACCATTTAGACCCTGGTGCCGCCTTATGCTTCATCTAAAGAGGCTACCAAACAGGGGCCCGAATTAATGTTAGCCCGCCCCCCTTTTGCAGCTGTGCGAATCTAAGGATTTATAGTGAGGCTGTTGTTTTCGCAGGCTTTCGGGGGGAATGGTGCTTTTGGTTTGCGGCTCGGAGGTCTTCGGTGGCAGCCGCCCGCATATTCTTCCGGCTGCCCCTGCTTTGGAAACCTGTTGGCACAAAGCACCTTTACCATCAGGTGTGTCACACACACAGACAACTCGAACAACGCAAATGCGCCGACCCTCTGCCGTCCTAGCCTCGGGACCAGCGTGGGACGCAGCTTGGAACCCAACCAAACACAAGTTAACGGACGAGCTCCCACGTTTGTGCATTTTGGCTGCAACTTTGAACCAGGATTTGGGGAAGGGAAAAAGACGTCTTTTTGTCTAGGCCACATGGGGCAGTTGCCCCCCATATTTTTCGTGTCAACGTACCTGCTCGAGTTGCCTCTGGGTCCTTGCAAGGGCAGCTGGAGGATTCGCCCCAACTAAAAGGTCCCCGTTTTGCCCCCTGACGCATTGGTGCGTTTCAAACACGTGCGGGATTTCGTGACAGAAGCGTTTACAGCCAACTATCTCATGGCTGCATCTTGGCCCATCTTGTCATCTCTTCGAAGGAGACAGCTCTTAGAGAATCAGGTCGTACTTGAGGTTGAGCCAACTTCCGTTTGTTTGTTTGCACCGAACGCAGGCCAGAGCCTTCGATCACTCACCTTTTGCGGCCTCACACCGTGAGAGAAGAACCATTTTATTTTGAAGAAGGACTCCAGAAGCGCATGTTTGTAGGATCTTTGATCTTCTCTCAAAATGGAGCGAATCAAATGTGTGTGTGTGTGTGTGTGTGTGTGTGTGTGTGTGTGTGTGTGTGTGTGTGTGTGTGTGTGTGTGTGTGTGTGTGTGTGTGTGTGTGTGTGTGTGTGTGTGTTTGTGTGTGTGTGTTTGTGTGTTTGTGTGTTTGTGTGTATGTGTGCTCTTTTCTCCCCGGCTCACGCGTTGCAGGAGGAGTCCATGCGAGGCAAAGTGACGCTGGGCATTGGGGTATGGTGAGGAAAGTCGGCCCCAGCTTTCCTGTTGGCTTGGGACGGGACTGCCATTTTGACCAGACTTCGATTCACTAGACTCAACAAGCACAAATCCCATAGCGCTGCTACTTGCGTTAAACTCAGGATGATGTGTGAGGGTCTAGCATAGTTTGCCACTTTGTCGAATCCACGCTCTTCTGGGGTATGCGGCATGGTTGCCGGCCAATCTGGTCAAAACATGGCGGGTAGTAAAACCTTACCCACAACAACACACACACACACACACACACACACACACACACACACACACACACACACACACACACACACACACACACACACACACACACACACACACACACACACACACACACACACACACACACACACACACACACACACACACACACACACACACACACACACACACACACACACACACACACACACACACACACACACACACACACACACACACACACACACACACACACACACACACACACACACACACACACACACACACACACACACACACACACACACACACACACACACACACACACACACACACACACACACACACACACACACACACACACACACACACACACACACACACACACACACACACACACACACACGCGCGCACATCTTATTCGGGATGACACGTTTGCCCTTTGTGCGATTCCAGCATTTCGCTTCCGGGTGGATGCGAGCAAGAGGTGAACGTCCAAGCGCATTCCGGCATGTCTCAGTACATTGTTGGCCGGGTTTTCGGGCGGATGTTTTTGCTGCATGAGAGTCGCCTTAAACTTGTTCGGACCACTGCCCATTGCCCACCCAACCCCCTCCACTCTGCCCCACCCAGTGCAGGAGGTCGTTTGTAGTTGGTGCCGGAGCCGCGGTCAGCGTATCACATGGTCTCTTAGGAGCGGCGAGGATGCGGAGACGTTCCCTCTGGCACAGTTGCTGTGCGGCCTCGGGGCTTTGATGGCGCACTTTGCGGCGTGGCGAGTTTGGGACGGGTTTGGTGCCTCCTAAGCAGTAAGGAAATTCGTCCTGGCCTAACCGCATTGGAAAAAGTAAGAACACAAGGAGCGCGAGACAAGCAGAAGTGAGAGAAGGGAAAGCATTTCAACGTGAGAAAAGTAGAAAAATGAAACAGTTAGAGGGGTTCTGGGGCCAGCTGTATATTGAGTTGTGGCCTTGAGTTTTGATCAACGTTTTCTTTATTCTTCAGTGTACGTGTTCGATGTGACTTGTGGTGTTCAATCAAGGTGTTTCTGGGACTTCCAACTGAGAACGCCTCCTACTGTAGCCCTTGCCGTCGCCATCCGTCGCTGCAGGAGAGGCTCCCCACAAACCAGCCACAACGGGTCAATTCCGTTTTGGGACGCATGCGCTTGCCCCCTGTTCAATCCGCGAAGCTGGCCGCCAAGTGCGTGATGCGCAGGCTAGATCATCACCATTGGTTTTAGGTTCGCCGCCGTTTCCCCAGCTTTTTGCGCCCGTTGTCTCGGCAGCTTGCGACGGGCCCCTCGCCCTTCTCGGGGTTTTCGGGTCGCAAGGTGGACGCTGTCGCCGATCTCATGCTGCAGCGGCTGCAAGAGAGGGCCGCCGCGGGCGAGGCGAAGCAAAATGGCTTGAACTGGGCGGGCCAGTCACAAGGGACAATTGACCAGTTACAACATCAACTTTATCATTTAATGTAGAGTCAGAGGATCCCCTTGCAAAGCAGCTGGTTTTCGGATGTATCCTTGAAGGAAACCTTGGGGGTGGTCTTGGTTCGTGCCTTCTGCTTTCTGGCTTCACTTGGGGACACAGGTGGTTTAGCCCTCCTGTTGGCAACAAACCAGTTACAGAAGGCTAATGGCCAAAAACGGGCTAAACGTTTCGGGTTCAGCAGGTATCGGTTTACCCAACAAGAGTGCTTGAACATTTGCCTTCAGTTACTCCAGCAACCTGCTACTCTGTGTCAAGTCAACTCCCGACTTAGCCCCCTGGCCCCCCAGACGCTCTTGCCTCGGGTCGCAAACGCAAGCGAGGGGAAGGGGTTCGAGTGGTTGCTCCATTTCGCTGACCCAAACGAGCGTGAGCTGAGAGTAGATGCGTGCTGAACAGGCCAGCCCACATCCTTCATTGTGACGTTTAAAGGGAAATC